GAAGACCAGGTGAGCGTCCTTGCATTTTGTTATTTCGCCTCCTTAAAAGTAGTGTTTTTTTTATTGCAATAAAGAGACTTGTGATTTTATTATAACTTAAATTGTAGATTTTGATCCATAGTCATCACGACGCTCCTGGCCTCAGCTTCGGACTGTTGGGGTTCTGGCCGCTCCTTAACTATTCTGTTTCCCTTGTCTGCTTGATTAATTGCCGTCCACTTCTGTCTAAGCAACTAGTCACCTCTCCTGCTATCGCTTCACAGCCTCCATATGCCTCCTGTCTGGATACCAACCCTTCTCTCCATACTAGTCGTCACTCTACTGCTTCTCAAATGTCTACCGAGGAAGCACAGGCTTTTCAAACACAAACAAGTCAATTCAGGCCTGCCAAGTCGTCTGCTTTGTTGACTGCTCACCCTGGTGCTATTGATATTGAGACTCGTTTACGTACTTTCCTGTAAGTATTGTATTTCTCATTTTAAAAGAATTCACTATCACTATTTTGAGCTTATCAGGTACTATTTTTATTAGGGATATTTTCTAAAAAACAGTACATTAATTTAAAGAGAGAAAAGTTAAATATTCTTGAGTTTACCTCCATTTAGAGTGAAAGTATTTAGCGAATAGATTCGAAGGTCTATCCCACCAGATGACGAAGGCGGATTCCTCTTGACCAGCTGTTCACATTGGCTTTACTGGATCATTCTTTTTGATGCTATTTCCGAGGTTATCTCCTTCGATTCTGGTCAAGGCGTACTAAGCTTTAGTCCGTCCTATGATGGTGTGATTTGGTTAGTTTCAGTCATATGCCAACCTCCTAGAATGCGAGGTTTTGGTGTCACTCTTATTTCTCCATGAAGCGTTACTCCATTCTTGACATTTAATTATTCGCTAAACTAGGAGTCAAACAAGATCCAATTGATAGGCCTCCAAGACTGAGAGTTAGATATATGGATGACTATTCTGCCATGTGGCAGCATGTTAAGAATAGTTTAGATAACCTTTTGTGCTCAATTAGCCGGATTGATTGAAATGCTAAGTTGATAATGGAGATAGAGAATGACAATAACTTATCTTTTTTAGATGTTGTAGTGATCATAGTAGGCGAGAGGTTAAGCAGAGATGGATAAAGAAAGCCAATGCAAGCCGGTTTTATCATTAATTTCTACTCCAACTATATTTATAAAACAAAGGTTGCCGTTTTAAAATCTATGACTATTCGGAGTATACGAAGAGTCGATAAAGGCTACTGTGATAATAAAGTGGATCGGCTCAAACTAATATTTCTTTAGAATAATTATCCCCTTGGTTTTATTGAAAATAACATTTAATTAATAAAGAATACTTTTTTGAATGGCGAATATGTGAAGATAGATAGGGAGACCTTTTTATCTCTATCTTCGTGTATTCTTACTAAAAGGATATGCGAATTAGTAAGGAAATGGGGAATTGAAACGGTTGTTAGGGAAACTACGACATTTTTTTCAGTTATGCTTAATTTTAGAGAGAAAGTTGACCTAT